CACACCGGGGATGTCTTTGTGGCACCCCCAGCAGCTGCCTTTACTGTGGTGTTGCCGGCTAATTGACATCCTTCCACCAGAGCCAAAGCCAAAAGCTTGCTTTCTCAGCCTCCTCTCCTAATGCCTTCATGGCTTTCTGCAGGTTTGGGCCGGTCACTCATGAAGTAGCTGGACAGCTGCTTTGCCCACTATGTCCTGACACCCAGCCTCCACAGGGTAAATCCTGGCTTTGCAGTCAGGTGCCTGGCCTCTGCCAGTTCGGTCGTCTCTATCTGCGGAGAGTGGTTGTTATATCTCTTGGGAAGAGGAGCTTCTCCTTGAGGTTCACCAAATATCTGCCAGTCTTTACCAGCTGACATCATGCTAAAGCTAAACTCATGCTCGGCCCGTATTTATTGATTTTTCTTCAGCTTTTAATTCTATCCAGCCACATCTTTTAGTCGATAAACTTCTTAACCAGTTTAAACTTGATTTTAATCTCGTTGGTTGGATTTTAGACTTTTTAACTGACAGATCTCAGTGTGTGAGAGTAAACGGCTGTTTCTCCAAATTCATTTATTTATATAGCACCAAATCACAACAACAGTCGCCTCAAGGCGCTTTGTATTGTACAGTAGATCCTACAATAATAGATAGATAGCTGACTCTGAAGTATGCCATCACACTACACATCTTGAGGACTTCCTGACTTCCTTGCCACCCGAAGCATCCCTGGGACAGTGCCATCTTTTCTCCTTTTCATTGTTGCGTCCTTTTGTTATGAAAACATGCAGACTTGCCATGCTGTCCTGCCTACAGGACGCCAGCTGCCATAGTAAGCACTACTAAACAGGCAGGGCTATGGAAGGGAGTTGTAGGCAGCACTTATGAGAAACCTGAGCTTATTGTCTGGCATCCTTCAGATCTCTGCCCATCTGAGGCACCTGTTAAAAGTGGTGTCCCATCATGTCCAGGAGCCCTGGCACCTCTTACCTTTATAAAGAAGCATTCCTTCTCCACCCTGGGGACTTCATCCACCACCATGGTCTCCTTCTGTTTCTTGCTGACTTGGAACTGTTGCAGTGCTTTAATCTTATTGATTTACCATTTTCTCTTCTGGTCAGATGTCAAGTCATTGAATGATCTAGTTTATGACCCAATAGCAGTAAAACACAGTACAGAGATGATAATGCACAAACAACGTTGTTTATCCATGGATGTAAATATATTTTCTCCAGTTGCCCGCTGAACCCTGGTCACTAACTTTTGACTTTTTTACATAAAGATTCTGGTTAGTTACTTAGGTGGGTTAGCTTCCAGTGTCTTGGAAGTGTTGGTCCTGGTATTAAGCCAGAAAAGGATTCTCACCATCAACTTTATGTGCCTGTAGGTGTTACAACCTGTCTGTCCTGATTTTAACTGACAAATTGAAATAGTAGAGACTAATATTCCTGTTATGGCAGCAGGGGCTAGTGCATGAAAATGGACCCAAATGCAGACGGAGGCAAACTGGTAGGTTTTATTTATAAAGACACAAGAGTAACACTTAAGCACCGGAAACATGAAATGAGAATCTAACAGGAGTCTGAAGCAGTCACGGCTCGTGGGTCGGGGATAGAGGTCACTGAAACAGAGGGAGAGAAATGCTGAGTGAGGTAATAAGGCAACTGAATGGCTTTCTAGTGGCTCACTGGCTTGCAGGTGTAGCGTGACATGATAGGGAAATGGAATGGTCCGCCATGAGAATTTGGCGGCGTGAACCCGGTCCAGAATTGTGGAACGGGCTGCTGCAAGTAAATAGCGCCGATTCACGAGACCAATACCCAGATCAGGTTTAATCTCCAGTACCGGCGAATGGCGTCCTCCACTTCCCAGGCAATGAACCCAATCTTGCTTGTAGCGGGGAGAATGGTTGGGACCTCAGAGCGATTGTGTCGGTGGCGAACTGGCGTGATAATGCATTGGCTTTGATGCTCCGTGAGCATGGACGGTAGGAAATAAAAAAGTTAAACCTGGCAAAGACAGTGACCCACGTGCCTGCCGTGCACTCAGTCTCTTAGCTGTCCTCAGGTAAGTTAGGTTTTTATGATCCATCCAGATAGCAAACGGCTGCTCGGCTGCCTCCAACAGATGCCGCCATTCTTTCAGAGCGAGCTTTACTACTAACACCTCCCTGTCACCCACATCATAGTTCTCCTCGAGATGACGTGAGAAAAGCCACATGGTGTTCCTCAAGAGTCTTGGAAAATATCTGAATGTCATCTAGGGTAAACAAACACGAACCTGTCCACAAAATCCCTGAGAACATACCAAAGCTTGAAAGATGGCTGGGGGTTGGTTAGCCCAATCGGCATCACCGGGTATTCAAAGTGGTGTATTGAATGCGGTTTTCCATTCATCTCTTTGTCGGATGCACTGCGGAGGTCGAGTTCGGTAAAAATAGCAGCTCCGTGAAGAGTGTCAAACATGGAGTTCATCAAAGGCAGTGGATACTTGTCTTTGATTGTGATGTCAGGCCCTGGTAATCTATGCACGGGTGGTTCTGTCATTTTTCTCCACAAAAAGAAACCCGACTGGGAAGCCCATCCATTTTTCCATGGCCGCTCGTTTGGGTCCGGACACATTGCAGAGAAGTCTGGTGGAGAGCGAAGCTCCAAGGAATAGTTCAATTGTGCAACCGTACGGTCTGTGAGGTAGGAATGAAAGGCCGTGGTTTTACTAAAAACTTCTTGAAGGTAGCTGTGAGGTGGCTGTAGCTCAGGAGGTGGAGCAGGTTATCTGCTGGAGGAAGGTTGGTGGTTTGTTCCCTGCCTCCACTAGTCTGCACCATTAGTCTGCTAATTCCAGTTAGTATGTCTAGTAGTTTATGTATTCCAAAGTGAAAAATCATGAATAGAAACAAAAGACTGAATGCATCTGTAAAAATAAAGCAGTAACAGGTTTGTGGATCTCAGGTTCCAGTTGAACTTTCAACCTGTTGAGTGGGGCAACAGACAGAGCCCCGAGTAAATAATGTAAACAAAAGATGCAGTTTGTATCTAAAGTTTGTCTAATCGCATGAGGTTAGCAGTGCTAAAGTATCAATGAAAGCAGCAATGCCTGTGGAAAGTCTGAAGAGGCCGAGGACCTGCATGCAGCAAGTGTTTGAATTCACACACTGATCACTCATGTAAAAACAATCTAGTTTTCTGTTTCATAATAAATTATATGTTCAGTTGATTCAATGGCTTTTCATCTCTTAATAATGATCAGAGGTTCCCAAAGTGTGGGGCCCGCCCCCTGGGGGGGTGGGGGGGGGGGCGCAGAGCCATTGCAGGGGTATGAAAAAAACAAAAACAAAACGCTTGGACACTGCTAGCATCATGGACAGGCTTTTGACGGGGCGCCCACACAAACACAAAGCAGGAGATGAAGCATCGCTGAATATGTTTCCAAACCAACTTCATTCCAAGCCAAATGCTAGACAATATGGTGAAGCAAATCCTCCCTTTGGCTTCACCTGCACAAGTGCCGACGTAGGTCTCTGTGACAGAATTAGTTTCCCTGCGTCGGGAGCAGCGCTGGGCTCTCAAACTCACGGACAAACAGGATCCCACAGCTGTTTATGTTTTTGAACCCATTTTGCACAGAGAGGCATTTTTTGAAAACTGTGTTGACAGCAATGTTGAACATTGTTCCACAGGAAAAAACAACTACATGTAAAATAATGACACCGTGACGCCTCTGCCTTTGTAAATGGAGGGACAGTAACTGCGTGTAAAACCTGCAGACAGTCAGATTAACAGTATTTGTCTCTATCTGCTATTCTGCAGTTCATCTCATGTAAACAATAACGTGGTGCACAGCGTGACGTGGAAAAAGGCGCATACCTTTGACGTTGTGTGACGAACTCTGTATTCCAGCATTTTAAAAAAAACCTCAGTTTTCGGTGATTCGAAACGCCGTTTACATGTGGACGAAAGGTCCAAATGCACAGAAACAGCTCCATGTGTGGACGCAGCGTAAAAGAGTTAGTAGCTTATTTTATTACTACCTGTAATTTATTGCAGATTACTTGTATTTGCTTAATTGTTTACTAAATGTTTGAGGTGTGAAATAAACCGCAATGGAGTTTGAAAACAAAATATGGGTGTGTGGTTGGAGGATGTGTTTGTGCGCGGGGGGGTGCTACAGCAGCAACATTTCTGACTGTTGTGCTTCATCAGCTGATGGTCATGCAGCCACCCACCTGGTGTAATTCCCATAGGACCACATTAATCCCAAACCGAGCTGGGGATGGGATCACTGTGACAAGCAGACAGAAAAACGACTGTTCTGCCAGAAGAGTGACACGTCCAGCAGTCACCACGAGTTTTATGTTGCCATTAGCATCATCTGAAAGTGAGAGTGTAGCTTTCACCCCTTTAGCAATAGTGGTGAAAAACTGACACTGCAGCCCAGTGTGGCATCTTAAATGAAGATAACGTGATGTAACGCTTGTAATAGTCAGGTCAGATGTTTTTGTTGTCTCTCTGTGATCGGGGTTCATTTTACATGCTTTCTAAAAGCCAAAACACAACCTCTATTAGAGCACTTCGCTCTCGCTCTGCAGGCCTACTTGTTGTTCCTAGAGTATTTAAAAGTAGAATGGGAGGCAGAGCCTTCAGTTTTCAGGCCCCTCTTCTGTGGAACCAGCTTCCAGTTTGGATTCAGGAGACAGACACTATCTCTACTTTCAAGATTAGGCTTCAAACTTTCCTTTTTGCTAAAGCAATATAAACCACCTTAAGGCTGCTAACAACTGAATTGACATTAGTGTATTTGTATTTGCTGGGTTTTGATCCGTTCTGTTGCAGAAAAGTTTGAAAGGTTTGATCTCTGAGAAAACATTTCTCTTATCAGTCTGATTGTGAATTGGTAACGCTGTTATGATGGACTGATGCATGATGGTAAAGTATCAGTTTTTTAAGCTCCACAAAGCCAATCTGCCTGAACCATGAACCTGTCTGATTTCATTTCTATTTTCTGATCTACCTCCACAGCTGTTGACATGACAACAGACGAGGCAGAAAGTCACCAGAAAAAGCCGAGGCAGCAGGAGGAAGCTGGCCAGGGCGCCAGACCTCCCACTCCAGAGGACGACCAGCTCCGACCTCAAAACCACAACCCTGCTGGCCGCGGTCTCACACGCCTCTTTTCCTCCCTCCTGAAAAGGCGTTCACAGTGTGAGAGCGAGGGTGGAGAAAAGGAGGACAAGGAGGAAGAAGCTAAAGCACCCATCGCTGACCCCGAACCTGAACTAAAAACAGAGGGCGAGGTCGCCCTTGACCAGCACTCAGTAAGCAGCGCTGAGGCTCAGGTCAGCCTGTGTTGGTGACTGTGTTACAGAGTTAGGTCTTACCTGTGATATGTAAGGAAATGTGTCATGGATCGAGTTGCAAAGTATTTATTATAGGATGCTTCAACTTTTACATTACTGAGCAAATCATTTTCCAAACCTAAGACTCTTGACTGTAGACGGTGCATGAAGCCTCCTCCCTGCTCAGGCTACAAGAGAAACATTACAAAGGTGGTGTTGGGCTCCTTCAGGTGTAGCCTGGATCACCTTTATAAAGTCTGATTACGCTGTGACTTATTTAAGATCCTCCGTGTGCTACATGTTCACATAGTTTACACTGTGACACCTCAGATGTGTGGATGATCTCACAGTTTTTGCTGAGCTGTAATGCTTGACATGCACATCTCCATCAAAACTGCACCATAGCACGATGTGCATCCTCTTCATAACTCTGACAGCCCCTGCATCCATCGGTTTAGACACAGTAACTGTTGTTTTCCAGTATGAACTGCTCAGTTTCACCTGTGATGGCATTAAATCCAAACAAGGTTGTCACCTGGTGTTCAGATTAGTAGTATGAATTGCACTTTAGTCTTTTTGCAAAGACACTGATGTTTTTACACATATAAATATATCAGTTACTACATGACTGGTGTCCACTGTGGTAAAAAACAGCTTTTACCAGTTGCGTCAGATTTCCAAAGCAAAGCCGTTCCTTCCTTTAAAGGACCTTGAAAAGCTTGTCCACGCATTTATTACATCCAGATTGGACGACTGTAACTGCCTCTACTGGGGCCTCCAACACTCCTCTCTTTACCGGCTCCAGTTAATTCAAAATGCAGCTGCGCGTCTTTTAACAGGTACAAGAATTCATGAACACATAACTCCAATTTTAGCCAAATTACATTGGCTCCCTGTTAAATATCGTATAGATTTTAAAATTCTTTTGTTCACTTTTAATATTTTGAATAATTTAGCGCCCAGTTATCTTTCTGATTTACTCCATTCATACAATCCCAACAGAGCACTTAGATCGTCCAACCACAGGCTCCTAGCACAACCTAGGACTCGAATGAAGTCGAGAGGCGACCGGGCCTTTGCATCCGTGGCACCCAGACTCTGGAATAACCTCCCCGTTCATATTCGCACTGCCGAGTCTATCCAGTCTTTTAAATTACGTCTTAAAACTTATTTTTTTACTTTGGCTTTTGATTCTGTCTAGTTGGCTGTTTTAGCTTGTTGCGTTGTTACCTATTGTTTGTTTTAACTGTCTCATGTTTTTATTGACTGTGAAGCACTATGGTCAACACTGTTGTTTTAATATGTGCTATATAAATACATTTTGATTTGATTTGATGACTGCTTCATCATCAAAGTGTCTTTAGTCAGGCTACCCAGGTAGAGAAGAAAGAGACTGACGAGGACAAGGTTGGAAAAGACAAGGAGAAACACGAGGACAAGGAAGGGGAGGTTACCGTGGAGAAAGAAGAGGAGAAGGACAAAGAGAAGAAGGAGGAGGAGGAGGAGTCTGGCCCTGAAGAAGGCAGTAGGGGAGAAAAGGACGAGAAAACAGCAGAAGAAGAAGCCAAAGCTCCCAGAGCGCCACGCCGACCCAAGACCATGCAGATCAAAGTCACACTGCTGGACGACACTCAGTACGAGTGTGAGCTGGACGTAAGTAACACACACAGACAGACACACACACAGACACACACACACACACACAGACACACACACACACACACACACACACACACAGACACACACACACACACAGATACGGTCACAGACACACACACGCACACACACAGACACACAGACACACACACAGACAGACACACACACACACACACACACAGACACACACACACACACACACAGACACGCACGCACACACACAGACACAAACACACACACCACAAACACACACACAAACAAACACGAAGACTACACACACACACACTCACACACACACACACACACACACACACACACATTAACCCAATTCCTTAGTTATTTCATAAACTCTTTATTCTTGCTTAAGGAGTAATTTGTGCAGGGCTGCTTTGTTTACACATGCGAGCAGCTGATGGCGCTCGCTGCCCGTATCACTGAAACAGACACTATGTAGAACACCTCTGTTATCATCAAGCCAGCAAACAAAGGTGGTTCAGCTGCCGTACTTAGTGGTAACCATCACTCATAGTGGTACCAGACCAGTCCAGGAGAAGCTGGAGTCCCTGTCACTGCTGTCTGTTTCTCCACTGCTTATTTCTGACCACATTATCCTGCGTGTGATATCAGGTGTGTTACATTAGCAGGTAAATCTAATGTCTGCTCCATGTGTTTGTGCGTGCGCACTTATACATCTTTGTGAGGACCAAAGATTCGAGTGTTACTATCCCTGTGGGACCAACATCCCCGCAAAATGTGCCTTTAGTGTCAGGGTTACAGTTGGCTTATGGTTAGGTTTAGGCTCAGGGTGAGGCATTCATCTTTGATGCATTACATCACTGAGATGTAAAAGGCAAGTGTGTGTGTGTTTGTGTGTTAGAAACACGCTAAAGGCCAGGAGCTGTTCATGAAAGTGTGTGACCACCTGAACCTGCTGGAAAAAGACTACTACGGCCTGGCAATCTGGGAAACTCCCACTATGAAGGTGAGCGTCAGTGTAACGGTCAGTATCCAACAATCCCAGCCTCACTGTTCCATTAGGAGGTATCATTCACGTCATTGTACCTGATGATTACACTAACCCTTTGCCCTGTTATTGAAGGAGTTGATGGTCCGATATCACTAAAGCTTAAACTGCATGTGACATTTTCTTGATTAGACTTGGATGGACCTGACCAAAGAGATCCGCAGGCAGGTACAAGGTGAGCTCAACTCTTCCACAAAGAAAACGTGTGTTTGTCTCTGTGACACTGAGCCTCACTCACAAACAGTAATTGCTGTGAGTTTCAGATTAGGTCTGTCTGTCCTCATGTTTTCTCACGCCTGTCTTTTCCTAAACTTTATCTTCAGTCACAGTGAGTATCTGAGGAGGAACGATATTCAGCAACGTTTGTACTTTTAACCGTCACTGTTTTGTCTCCACATGGACGCTGTAGTTTCACTTTCAGGCAGCCTTTCTCTTGCTTTTTTGCTTTGACCACTGCACTGCAGACAAATGTGTTTCCTTATAAAGAGAAGCATGAGTGTGGCAGCATGCAGATTGCAAGTAAAACTCATGAGCCTGTTGATTTAGAATGATTAATAAAATTAGCCACGTTTCATAAATCCGGTGGTAGATTTGTGTGAGCAGGGAAATAAAGATTTTTGCACACATATTCATGAGTTACTCTGACCAGTCTGGGTAATCGTTTAATCACTCCTTCCTTTCTTTCTCAAGGTGCCAACTATAATTTCACTTTCAATGTAAAATTCTATCCACCGGACCCAGCCCAGCTATCAGAAGACATCACAAGGTACAGCACATATCCAGTCTCCCACTGGTGAAAATAGTTTTATTGTGTCACACAGTGGACGGGGTGTGTAGTCCATGTGTGTGTTTTTAGTTCCCACAAGGATGAAAATGCGTCCAGTTTATCAGCTGGAGGCTTCAGAGCTTTCTGTGGCATTTAAGAAGTTTTCAGTCAGTCAGATGGTGGCACAGATGGATCCAAGCTGCATGTCTGTGTCTAACCTGTGGAGCCTCCATCTTTCCTTTCAGTATTATTTGACCTTCTCCAGATTGACATTGGTTATGTATTATTTCAGTAGGTGAAGCAATTTTTCCCGGGAACAACCCGACCAGCCTCTGTGAGTCCGAGCTGGATCAAATATACCTTTGATGCGTTCATCAGTGAGCGTGCGAGTTCAGCTCTGACTCTGGTTTCCACCATAGTTTTCTGGGGCTTTAACACATCTCACAGTACGACTGTATTAATCCAGGTCCTTTACCATCTATCTATAATTAATGTGAGAACTGCATGTGCATTGCAGATACTATCTTTGTCTCCAACTGCGAAAGGACATCCTCCAGGGCCGCCTCCCCTGCTCCTTCGTTACTTTGGCTCTGCTGGGCTCCTACGCTTTGCAGTCAGAACTTGGTGAATATGACACCGAAGTGCACGGCAGTGAATATGCTAAAGAAATGAAAATGGCCCAAGGTCAAACCAAGGAGCTGGAGGACAAAATGATGGAGCTGCACCGCACATACAGGTCAGTCACCCAGTGGAACTCTTATTTCATTAGTTGTAGATCCATCCATCCATTTTCTTCCACTTATCCAGGGCGACCACATTCTCACTGGGATGATGGTGGATTTGAACCCACTACACTCTTGGAGTGACCGCTGGGCCACTGTCTTGCCACTTATTGCAGAGAATTTATGTAAAGTTCACGAGTTGCTGTGTTGCTGAGCTCACCAGTGCTTGCTTTCTTTCTCAGGATGCACCAAACTGTAGATTTTCGCACTCCTAATATTGTAGCAATTTCTCAGATGAGTTTTTCTGTTTCCACAGTTTAAGGATGGCCTGTTTCACCTGCATGAGCTCCTTTGACCACATGTTGTCTGTTCTGTTCACTCAAATCACCTCCAGGCCTTTTATCTGCTTAATTGATAATGACGTAACGGTGTAATCACCCACACCTGCACATGAAGTAGCCTGTCAATCAACTGTCCAATTACTTTTGGTCCCTCTAAAAAGTGGGTGGCACATGTTAAGGAGCTGACGCTCATAAACCCTTCATCCAATTTGGATGTGAATACCTTCAAATGAAAGCTGAGAGTTTGCACATTATGTCCACCTCCAGATAAAAAACTTGTCAGTATCTCAGGTTTGTGCGAAACCGTCGATCGGTCACATGCGATAGACGGAAAAGTCCGCAGCATCACTAACATGTGACATGTGTCTTTGCAGACAGGGAAGTTAAGCTAACAAACATCAGAAATAATTGAACGGTCAAGTTGTGTGTGAGCTTCATGGAATAATAATAATGGATTGCATTTATACAGCACTTTTCAGGGCCCTCAAAGCGCTGTACAGTTCACTCTCACATTCACACACTGGTGGAGGCAGCTGCAGTTGAAACACTTGTTTCTAAAGTGAAACATGTAGTAAAGCAGCTGACACCGTTACACATTTAACATCCAAGTGTGGATTCAATCAGTGTCACAGAAGCTAAAGATTTTGGATTTCTTTGGGGTGCCATCGCAGATCCATGAGCCCAGCGCAGGCAGATCTGATGTTCCTGGAGAATGCCAAGAAACTTTCCATGTATGGAGTGGACCTCCACCAGGCCAAGGTGAGCATCCTCAGCTGCTCTTATTATTCCTGTTCTTCCTTATAGACGATTTTTAACTGCTCCAATCAATAAATAGTGAGTAGTGATTCACCCTTGTTTTCCATGCTAACTTTGGGAGCAGGTAGTTCACGTACTTCACAGAGAACCTGTCCTCTTACATGTCGGCGTGAATGTGGTGCTCCCTGTGAGAAACCGATGTGATATGTGGCGTCTGTGCAGCGTGACAGTGTGCACATCAGAAATAAGGTCATTCTCCTCACTTCAGAGCAGGTATTAAAAATAAATATAGGAGAGCACTTTGAAGATGATACTGCCCCCCTGTGGATGCTTGGGAGCAGCACATGTCGGTTGCACCACCAGTCAGAAAAGAGCTCAACAGTCCAGATGAAGTAAACATAACCAGGTGTAGTGATCCAAGGAGCATCCTTTAGACCACTGCGTGCTGACTGGGCTGGAAACTTTCTATCATTCAGTATCTCCTGTTTATTTATTTGCCTACATTGCTTTAGGAGTTATTTCTTTCATTCTGAATATCTGTTAGGATCTGGATGGAGTTGACATCATACTGGGGGTGTGTGCCAGTGGTCTGATGGTTTACAAAGATAAACTGAGGATCAACCGTTTCCCCTGGCCCAAAGTCCTCAAAGTCTCATACAAACGAAGCAGCTTCTTCATCAAAATAAGACCATCCGAGGTAAACCGCCACAAAAACGTCCTTTTGTTTTTCGTCCTTCTAAGGTCTGTTAGTCTTGTTCACAGCAGGTTTGTGTCTGTTCTAACAGGTGGAACATTATGAGAGTGCCATTGGATTCAAGCTTCCCAACTACAAGGCAGCCAAAAAGCTGTGGAAAGTGTGTGTCGAACATCACACCTTCTTCAGGTGTTGTATTCTCATCGTGCTGCATTTCTGAAGGAGCTGTGGCTTTTTTCAGAGCTGAAGATCAATATTCTTATGTGCAGGCTGACCTCCTCTGAGATGGCCACCACCCCAAGGAAGTTCCTAGCATTGGGCTCGAAGTTTCGTTACAGCGGTCGGACTCAGGCGCAGACCAGACAGGCTAGCTCTCTGATTGACAGACCAGCTCCCCTTTTCCAGCGCTCCTCCAGCAAGAGGAACTCTCGCAGTCTGGATGGAGGTACGCCTTTACTAACAAACGGACTCTGTGTTGCACTCGTGTTTTTCAGTCTGGCCTATGAGTCCTTGGGCAAACAGCGACAACAGACCAGTATGTATAAAACGGTTGGGTGCGCCCATGCTGCCATCGGTTTTAGCCAAAACTACCGTAACTCTTGACCCACTGGTAAAATCGAAAAATTCCAACAGTTCCTGAAATTATCTGTGCTTTTTCAGTAGTATTATGGTCGTTACGCAGACAAAAGGCAAAAGAAAGAGAATTTGGCAGAAAGTTAACAGAAGAAGAGGGAAAATCTGCTTCATCACCTGCTGAAAGACAACAACAACCAACATGAGCACGAGTAACGGTCAACAATTAAATGTTGCTGAGCAGCACACTAATGATACATGACATGTTCAGAGGCAGCAGACCGAGATAGTGTGTCTGTGAGCACCTGTGTTCGTAAGGTTTCTCTATTTAAGTATTTATTGGTGTGTGTGTGTGTGTGTGTGTGTGTGTGTG